AGCTACTTCCAAGGTGCAATCCGCTATATAGAACTGGGCGATGTTAAACCATGGCATCAGAGCAGTGGCGTATCCAAGGGGGGACCCTGGGGATCCTAGGATCCCCCCTGGAGCCTAGAAAAAAAGTTTTTTTTTTATAACACGGAAAAAATTGAAATGACTTCAAGGGCCCTTTTGACCACTTCCCATTTTATTCGCTAAAAGAAAAAGTATTGTAGAACTCTTTTGAGGATTATTAGAGGACACATTTAGACCAATGAGGGACCTTGTGAAGGATACAGAGGGCCCTCTCAGGCACACAGAGAGCCCTCTCGGGCACACAGAGGGCCCCCTCAGGTACACAGAGAGCCCTCTCGGGCACGCAGAGGGCCCTCTCAGGTACACAGAGGGCCCTCTCAGGCTCACAGAGGGTCCTTTCAGGCACACATAGGGCCCTCTCAGGCACACAGAGGGCCCTCGCAGGCAAACAGAGGGCCCTCGCAGGCAAACAGAGGGCCCTCTCAGGTACACAGAGGGCCCTTTCAGGCACACAGAGGACCCTTTCAGGCGAACAGAGGGCCGTCTCAGGTACACAGAGGACCCTTTCAGGCACACAGAGGGCCCTCTCAAACACACAGAGGGCCCTCTCAGGTACTCAGGGGGCCTCCCAAGCACACAAAGGGCCCTCTAAGACCAGCAGAGGGCCCCTTAAGACGAACAGAAGGTCCTCTGAGGTACGAGGGTCAATGTCAGGCCACAAGGTACCCTATGAGGCACCAGACGGCCCTCTTAGATCAAAGATGGTCCCTGGAGGTCACCAAAGGGCCCTCTGAGGTGAACAAAGTGCCCTCTGAGATCGAAGAGATCAAAGAGATCAAAGAGGGCCCTCTAAGGCGAATGGAGGGCCTTCAAAGGTCACAACGTGCCCTCTGAGGCCACTGGAGGGCCTTCTGAGTTGATATGAGGCTATGTCAGACCACCATGAGCCCTATGAGGTTTAGGCCCTCTGAGATCAAAGAGGGTCCTTGGAAGTGATCGGAGTACCCCTTAAGGCTCATTGAGGCGAACAAAGGCCAGAGGGCCCCCTTAGACACCACAAAGAAGTAAAAAAGATCCCTCTGAGGCCAAAGACAGCTCTCTGAGATGTAATAGGGCCATTTGAGGCATCCGAGGGCCCTCTGATGCCACAGAGAGGCGCCCTCTGATGCCAAAATAGGGTCCTCTGAAGTCTAAATCCACCAAAGGGCCTTCTGAGGCGAACAGAGGGCCCTAACATCCACCTCAAAGAGGGCCCTCTGAAAATCAACTGGCCCTCGGAGTCAGTGTCCCAAAATCGTATTTTGGCTTGGGTGTCAGAGGGGGAAAAGGTCACCCAAAAGAGGGATAAGAGTGGACAATTGTCAGTCACAGGGCAGTCGGAGCCCTCTGAGAAGGCCACTTGAGCCTTACAACAGTGGGCCCTCTGAGGTGATCTGAAGGCTATGTCAGGCCACTATGGGCTCTATGAGGTCATAAGGCACTCTGAGGAAAAAGCTCTGAGGCGAACAGAGGGCCCTTGGACAATCAGAGGACTTTTTAGGTCAACTAGGGGCCTTATGAGGCCAGCAAAGGACCCTTTGGGACACAAACAGGGCCTCTCAGGTACCCGGAGGGACCTCTTTTCTAAGGCAAACAGGGGGTCACCTTAGATGATATGAGGGCTATTTTAGGCCACTAGGGGCCTCATGTATTAGACCAACATACGGTCATTTGAAGTAAAAGAGAACCTTTTGAGGTAAAAAGGGCCCCTGGAGAGAAAACAGAGGGACCTTTCAGGTACCCAGAAGGTCCATGGAGGCCACTAGAGGACCCTTTGAGGCCAGTGATGGTCTTCAGAGGCCATCAGAGGGTCCCCCTGAGGGTAACAGAGGGTCCTTAACCCTATTCCTGGCGGGCTCCGCCGGGACAAGAAACTGGCGGGGGGGGGGGGGCCGATTCGGCCCCCCCCCCTGAGATCTCGAGAACGAAGCAAGATAGCGACAAGCGGTAAACGGCATCGGATACGCATGGACAAGGTCTACAATTTTTACTAAGGTCATTTTCAGGTCAGGTCAAAGATGACGTCACAGGGGTCGAAAAAGTCAAAATGGCGGCGCTAGATATGGAGAGAGTTTTTCTCGAATAACTTTCGAATTAGTCAAGATAGGAACAAACTAAGGGCATCATCGTGATCCTCTCGTCAATCCGCATCGAATGATATATATGTTGACCTCGAAAGGTCAAGGTCAAAGGTTGACCTCAGGTCACGTGACCTCGAGGTCATCATGTATATCATTCGATGCGTCTTGACGAGCTGAACACAATGAGACCATCCACGCGTCTGTATCTTGTTCCTGTACGGAGTTATTGGCCAAAAACCTTTGGTGACCTTTGATGACGTCACATGACCTCACAGCTGCCCAACAGCAAAACAGACCTCAAGGTAGTGAAGGTTGATCGTATATGAAGTCATGTATGGTATATGGGGCCATTCCGACCCGTTTTAGTGGTAAAAACAGGGAGTTGATTTTTCCCCCATTGACTTATAATGGGGAGGTCGCGAAACTGACCTGACCTTAGGTCACCGATATCAAAATTCCGAGATATACAAATTGCACATACTGGTACCCTAACTAAAGCCTGAAGAGAAGAAATTGATCGGTCAAAAACTCTAGCTCTGGCGTGATTGCAAACTTTTCTGAGGTAGGGTCACCAAACCGCCTCTGGTGACCTGACCTGAGGTCAGATCAACTCAAAATTTTCAGACATGTTGCGTAGAAGCCTTTTAGGAAAAGTCAGAAAATTTGAGCTTCCTAGCTCAACGCGTTTGGGAGAAATAACCAAAAAACCTCAGGGGGGGCTCCTGAGCCCCCCCCCCGCCAGGAATAGGGTTAAGACGACCAGAGGCCCTCCGTGAAAATGCGGGCGTCACAAGGCCCGGTTTGCATCAAAGGTCAGGTAGCTATGCCCAGTTTTGGCTCTCTGTTGCCTGCCGACGTGTTCCGGGCTGTCGCAAAAAGACGATGTGGTGGCACCCACGCTCCCCCCCCCCGCCCGGCCAGGGTCCTTCTAACCAGGGATGCGGAGGCGTGGAAATTTCAGACGGCTCCGGCTCCGGCTCCGGAGAGAAAAAAAAATCGGCTTCGGCTCCGGCTCCGGCTCCGGCTTCGACTCCAGTACTCAGTTCATCCTTTATACAAATAAATACGGGTGGAAAAGAAAAGATGAAGGATTGGTTCACGTTGTTTCTGTATTTGCATAACAAGGCTATTTTGAATACCACATATTTTACTGCCTTGCAGGCACTGTGAAACCGAACTAGGTCAATAATGTTTTCCTCTTCAAAAAAAAAAAAAAAACAGCCGGAGTGGCCGCCTTTTTTACCGCTCCGGCTCCGGCTCCGGGCTATATTGTTTCACGGCTCCGGCTCCGGCTCCGGCTCCAGGCAAAATATGCCGGCACCGGCGGCTCCTCCGGCTCCAGCTCCGGCTCCGCACCCCTGCATCTATAACCCGGCTTCTGAGCCACGTACCAACACGCCTAAGGCAGTGTTCGAAGGGACGCAAGCAAACAATAATGACGAAATTACGCCTGTCACTTTTTAGATCAGTTCAAAATTCAGTTCACATAGGTCATCCAAGGTTAAATTTCGCCAATTTTCAGGTCCAATTTCGACAATTTTCAACAAACCACCGCATGATTCGGAAATGAATAGAGCTACAGTACCGGGGAAAAGCGTAGTTAATAGCTCTTTTAACACCCCTTTCGCCGTTTCCATCCTCAGGACATTCAAATCCTTCTCCTCCATGCCGCAAACCCTGATCCGGGCTGGACCTGGACGGGCAACTTTATTCCATGCGGGCGGCTCCCATTGGAGCGCACTGCAGCTCCTAAGGAAGCACACTCATAACCGGGTGCAGTGAGCACTTGGGAGGCTGGTCGGCCTGTCCTGTTGGACAGGCTCAGCCCCAGTGAGTCACCAAGGTGCCCGCCCAGACCAATGTCTCCCTCAATTCCTATCATCCCTCCGGCCCTGAAATGGCCTGTCAGACCGAAAGCCGAAAGGGCCTGGGTCCAACCCAACAAAACAAACAAAGCTCTTTTAACGCACTTTCTGTAAACTGTGCTCAGATTTGACCTAAGCCTGTTAATTGTACACTTTTTATATCGGAACATTTTCATGTTCCTACAGCTCTGTAGGCCTGATAGCTCTTCCTGCGAAACATTTTTTGGGTCGAAAATGGCAGAACATGACGTCATTCTGACGTATTTGCGGCCAACCTATCAAAGCCTCTGGAAAAAGGTCACAATGTGTAAAATGGATGCCCGGAGAGGTCCTGAAAGTTTCGTGGCGATATCTGCACTCATTTAGGAGATAGCTACGGAAGAGGACAGGGGGCCGTTTCGCCCCCCCCCCCCCTTACGGGGCGCGGGATAACGCCCTTTCAACTCAGGCTTCAAGGGCCCTTTTGCCACTTAAGGGCCCTTTCAACCCAGTCAGTCAAGGGCCCTTTTGACTGCGGATCCCCCCTGAGAGAAATCCTAGATACGCCACTGCATCAGAGCCACGTAAACAAACACCTAAAACAGACGAGCGCATCAGCAGTTAAGCCATCGCGTGATGTTTTACACTATTGCTTGGCTGCCACTTAAAAAGAATCCATGCATTTGTGGTCTAGGTATGAAAATAGAAGTATATTAGATCAAATCAAAATTATAAAATGAAAAATAGTAAAAGATGACGTAAACAAAACCAAGTCGAAGAGGTAGAGAGGAAGGTGGCAATGCGCGACCGAGTACAGCAGCACGCGGTGCGAGCTGAGTCGCTCCGTCAGCCGGGCCAGGGGCGGCAGTGGCAGCAGCTGCCATGCAAGGCGGGTGAAGGCAATGCAGTCGCAGCCGCTGCTACCATCTCTGTGCCTCCCTCTGTGATAAACTAACAGCCCCGCCACCAGTCCCACCGACACCAGCAGCGCCAGGCAGCCGACACCGTCCCGGTGTACCTTCATACGGGAGAGGACGACCAGTCCCTCGGCTAGCACCGGCGCGCCATACGCTATACAGTGCTGGCTGATCTCAATTATAGGCATCAGAGCCAGGTAGGCGAACGCCTAAAACACACGGACAAGGCTGAGTCGTGCCGGAGCGCCTGTGAGCTGGCTACTGCGTATCGTCAGCCTAGTCTCTCAGTTCTCGCTATCACCATGGTCCTGCGCATGTGACAGATCCTGTGCATCGTGATTCGTGAACTGAGATGGGCGTAGAACTCTTATCGTAACAAAACTCCATACACCTCCTTTCTCGACCTGATCTCTTCTCTTGAGGCACCATAGTGGGGATACCCTGGGGATTGTTTGTGCATTGCTATATCTGCCCACCCTTCCCTGAGTCCGTCGTCCCAATCCCGACGTAGAACTGCAACATGGCGAGTGGCGACCAAAAACAGTTTACAAACACGTTATTATACACATACACTTCCAACAAGATATCTGTCCCTCAGTTATCTAATCTGATGATGTTCTGGCCCGTCGCCCCAGGCTGGTGCGGCTTGACTATCGGGTAAGTTATACGCCCCCACCCCCACCCCCGACCCCCACCCACCCCCACCCCCACCCCCCACACACAATGTGATTCTTCCCTGACCTGTGCGACGGTCAGGTTATAGCCATCCCCCTGTATTGACGGGTCGTGCCCTATCCCCCTCTCCCACACACACTGTGACACCCTTCCCTGAGCTGCGCGGCCGTACGCCCCCCCCCCCCCGTGACACCCCCGATGCGCTGACCTGCGCGGCAGTCAAGTTGTACCTCCCCCCCCCCCTCTCCCACACACACTCTGTGACACCCTTCCCTGAGCTGCGCGGCCGTACGCCCCCCCCCCCCCGTGACACCCCGATGCGCTGACCTGCGCGGCGGTCAGGTTATAGCCAGCTCCGACGTGACACAGGAATGTGATGATGGCAGAGATGACCGGTACAGTGGGCGCCAGGGCGATACTGACGCTCTGCACGTAGGCGGCGCGCTGCAGCAGCGAACGCTCAGACGACCGCGCCGCTGCGGGAAAGGTAACAATATAAATTGACACACATACGACCGCTAAGACTGCACATAAAATTGGCTGTGCTCCCCCTCTTTTTGGATGGGGGATGGTACAACGTAAGACCTCAATCTAATTTTTAGTCAACTGGTACCAGCGCGAGAAAGGTCATAACAGAATCAGAAACATTTTCCGGCAATTCATCCAGCACTCCGGGTGTTAACGAAACACTTTACGAATCGAGCTGTCCTAGTGTCCCTTCTCCACCCTGACAAAAATAAAAACTTGCCAGTTCGGGCCACTTGCCTCAATACTAATAACCAGGCACCAATAAGCCCTACTCACAGAGCGCGAGGTTGACTATCATAGTCAACCTCGCCACATAATAGGCACCTGCGCAGCCGTGAACAGCACAACAATGAGACAGAAGCACAGCCGAATGCACGCAGCAGACTGCAACTGCAACAGTCTCGCACGATTTCCACGAGCTGTCACAAAGCCACACTCACCGGTGATGCGTTTGACGAACGTCGCCTCCCAGGCGTACTGTTTAATCAGTTTGATGGCGGCCAGAATCTCGTGCATCAGCTGCACGCGACGGTCCGTGACCACGATGGTACGTCGGCGCAGGTAACCGGTGATCCGCGACAACATAAACTGACGGATACATAAACGGCAGCGGTCAGTGGTGACGGTTAGTGGTGCCAGTGGTGACATTGTGATTGTTGGTGCCAGTGGGGACAGTGCTGATGGTTAATGGTGACTGTCAATGGTGACGGTAAATGGTGGCGGTCAATAATGATGGGCTATTGAGATGGTAAGCGATGGTGGCCAAGTGATTTTCAGTGGTCATTGACAGCCATACAACAGCAGCTAGCGGTTAAATTTGCTGGATCAACAAGTAAGAAGTCTGTGACAAGATAATGCATCGTGAGGATGATGCATAAACTAAGGGTTCCTCCACACGTCCCTAGATGTCAGTAGTAGCGGGACATGGGCACGTGAGCGTGTGCCGACAGCGGAACAACCGGCGCCACCGACACCCCCTCACCCGGGCCCGGGTGGGTGGTTGTCAGTGTTGATACGGTACACACATCGACCCAGGCAGACGGGGGTGGGAAGGAGGGGGGAGGAGGGGGCTGGCTAGCCATGGATATTAGATCGTCAGCATCAGACGGCCAGACGGATGGTGACGGTCTGCGACTCTGCACATAGAGTCGGGGATCGTGTACCGCCCGTGAGGACAGCTGTAGTCCCATCAACAGTTAAACATGGACCAACGTCCTCATATCACAGACAGTAATGCAAGCGCCCCCCCCCCCCCCCGCCAACCGAACACTGCACTGTAGTAAGGACAGCTGCACCGCCCCTCAGCAAGGACCACCGCCCTCACACGACGAGCAGCCCTGTCCCCCAGATAATTGACCCACGCTCTGGAAAAGTTGTACCCAGTACCCGGCACCTACCCCCACAACTGACAGCCATCTTCGTGTCTGACAGCCATGTCCAATGCCCCTCCCCAGTATTCAGTCACGCGGTAACTCCAGACCACGTGTTCACCCCATGCCACCTGCCTGACGCCGTACCACTATCAGCACACACGTGCTCGCAGATAGCCTGCAGCGTTCCACGACCACGGCCCTGCACGGCGGCCTTGATCACAGTCGGGAGCGGATCGGCCCGCCAGCGCTGCACACACTGTCTTCAACCAACCCACCTATCTGTCACAGTGCAGTTGGGGCCAGTGGCAATACAAATAAATATACGGGGAAGTCCCACCCATGTGCTCTCAGTAACCCGTGTAAGACACGTGGCAGACACTAACTACATAAGCCATGAGCTCCCCCTCACCCTAACATGTCTTGGATGCATGTTAGACTGTTTGCTGGGGGCGTTAACTGGCAGGTCATTTGCGAGGCTGTGATTCCAATAAATACAGAGCCGTACGGGGAAGTCTAGCAACCACGTCACCCGTGACGACCGCAGATGAGGGAGAGGGACGCTAACCGACCGACCAGCCCAACCTGGCTACCACTGAGGGACCATCTGACCTGCCTTTGCGCCATATAACCCTCAGAGGTCGGGCACGCCACAAAACCCAATCATCATCACCACATCTGACCTGCAGCGGATAGAACTACTCGGTACCTATGTAGAACTACTCAGCGGGTAACTCGGTGACCGCCTAAGAGGGTAGCACGCGCCCTGACTGACCTGCAGGGGGTAGAACAGTATGAAGGCGATCATTCCGAACAGGGCGTACGGTCCGAGCACCAGGCCGATGTAGATGACGCCGCCGAGCGCGATCACCGGCCCGCCAATGATGAGCGGACCGAACACGCACAGGTCGAATATGCGCTGCGCGTCGTTGGCGAACAGATTCACCACCTGAAATGGAGGGGAGAGGGCGTTCAGAACAGAGTCACAGGGTGGGGTGTAGGTCCGCAGGCAGGGCAGGGCACCCGCCACCAACAACCATCGGAGGGGTCACACATACAGCTGGGGTGCACACTGCCACACTGCACAGGTATTGCAGAAGGTATCGGTACGGTGGAGCCATCTAGGTTCGGTCAAACTTAATCGATTTTTTTCTTTTTCCTGGATAATATTGTTCTGGCTTGCGTCATGCGGTGTGAATGCAGTACCGAAAAATCATTTTTAATCAAAATTAATAATTGCCACCGATACATCAAAACGCATACTGAACGCCTTTTATAAGTACATAACGGTGTTAGTCTCAACGCCGCATAATCAACAGCGCGCTCCACAGTTGTACCGCCTTTAGAGTGGAACGTCCCAAAAATGAGCCCATTGTCCCCCCGACCAGTATGGCCCATGCAAACAATGCACCGTGTCACGACGCCGCTGACGGTTATCAGGCGATGTGTCACGGTTCCTACCACGCGGTCATAGCAGCGGCACCGCTACACATGGGTGCCACACAGGCGGGTGAATGCGCATGACATGATAGAGGTGGTGTACTACTCATAACAGCTTTAGAGCTCATACCAGCTTATAGAGCTTTACTCTATCTATATCATCGGGCAGTTAGACATCTGTTTACCTTTGGGACCTCGGTATACAGAGGTCTATGCATCGGGCGAGGAGCTCGCTCTCCATTATTTGTCTAAGCTGGGCAATGGGCACGCAGTGAAGTGACAGACAGCAGGCTTACCCACCTGGCCCACAGACTTGTCGCCCAGACTGGGCAGCTTCATCAGCTTCCTGTAGAGCACGGTGAGGCAGGCAGACCGCAGGCGGATGCCCGTGCGGTAGTTGATGCCCCACAGTGCCGTGAAGAAGAGGACCCGCAACACCTCGCAAGCGATCAGGCCAACCGTCCACCAGATACCCTCCTCGAGTGGGGCGTCCTCGTCCTGAGCAAACTCCAGTAGACGGCGCATAAACACCGTCTGTTGAACAAAGTCAGAAATAGGGTCACAGTCTGGGTCGGTCAATATAATACCGTCTGTCGAACGAATCCAGGAATACAGTCAGAGCGCGGGTCAGCTGATAAAACACCGTCTACCGAACGCAACCAGAAAGTCACTGTGTGGGATGGTCAATATAACACTACCGAGTGCTGTCCGAGTGGCTGTCAGCAATATCACTGATACAATAGATTCAAACACATCCAACACTCAACAGATTCAACATTTCACTCAACTATGAAGTGTCTGAATAAACTGACAAAACATTTCGAATGATTGCCTTCTAAAAAAGTCCGATATTTTTATCAAACAACTTATTCTGGAAACTCTCCCGAAAAAGTATTAGCACCAGATATGACATTAAAGCACCTCCCTCGCCACTGCAGTGTCATCCCCATCGCTCACCGGTCCTAGCAGACCCATGATGAGACACATGACGAACACCGACATGCCGACAAAGATGCGTGTTCGGATGAACCTCCAGACGGCTCGGCGGAACGAGGCGTGCTTCAGGCCGTGCCGCTTCACCTCGTCTGTCCACATAAACTCCAGCCTGGTCGGGGACAGAGCGGTATACAGTCAAACCGGACAGTGACGGGGTAGCAGAGGAGTGCTCCCTCGCTCCACAGCGGGTCACGAGGTGCCCATCAAACAACCTAGGCATGTACTGCCCGTCCTACACCTGTCATAGCATGTGTAAATAACAGACAGCCATACAGACATTCCTCTTTCAGCCGGCTTTTGGCTGCCAGTTGTTTGATCTTACGTGAAAAGTCATCCCAACAAAACGTCATCCACAAAATGAGGAGCTTTTATCAATCCGGCTATAAGCTCGGCAACTGATTAACACCGTTAAAAATCACCGGTAATAACAACAGTAATTCAGCACTGATATCCAACGCGCCCAATATTGCTCTGTGAACACCATACCATTGCTCCCCAGACACTAAACCGCCGCCGCGTTCAGCGCTCACCGTCTAGCGTTGTACTCGCAGCTCTCGAGCGGCGAGATGCGCGGCAGGTCGTCCACCTTGAGGCCCTTCCTGTAGGCCTTCCACATGATGCTCGTCATCCAGGAGAAGGTGGTGAACGACAGCATGCCAACCTTGTCCACCGGCATCGCCGCCTTCTCCCTGAGGGAACATCGTAAACCCTGGATCACCGGGTGAGCTTGCGTGATCGTCTGTCAGCTTATCGGAGTTATGAGCGCTTGATGGATTTGTTTTTGGACTAACGTATTAGTTCGTGAGTTCACTATAAGGTTTGCAAACTCACTGTACAGTTGGTAGGTTCACTGGAAGCAGGGTTGGCATTTTTGCCGGCAAAAACTAGTTAATGCCATTTGCCGGTTTAAACCGGTTTTAACCGGCAAAAAGTGGCAAAAACTGGCAAAAACTAAAAACCATCACAATGATATGCCTAGACATGGATTTAAACGTGAAACATTTTGAAGAAAATTCGGTGAAAGCTTTATGCTTTCCAACAGAAATGACATTGACCGTTGAAGTGTTCTATAACTCAAAAACACTTTCATGGTCTTTCCATAAGGAACCAGTAAGACGCCTTTTGGGGTTGACAAATGAGCCAGTGCAAGAGTGAGTCCTGCACAATCAGAAGTGCGGAGGGGTATCTGCCACTGATATGCGCACGGAACCCTACCGTGGCAGCTTTGCCCCACTCTCCCCTACATGGAAATACATTCTGTGATGGATGTCTACCTTACCTTATCTTACCATACGGTATCGGGATTTTTAGGCTTATAGCCTGTCGTAACTACCCGATCTCATCGAACTCCTGGTATTTGGTTTGTCGAGGGCCAATCAGAATCGGGAATGGTGTAGCTTAAGTGGCACCAGTGTGCATCCAGCCTCGCCTTGAAGCAGTTGAGCGATGGGGCGCAGACCACCTCAGCCGGGAGTCGGTTTCAGTCGTTCACGACCCGTAGAGCGAACGAGGACATGCATACGAGTAGACATTTTAAGCAGGGATAAGTAATGAGGCAAACTTTAGAATGTTTGGTGCATCTCTATGACATCCATAAATGCATTTGTACATTTCAGATCCATTCCTAACTAGAACAGTTGTGGTTTGGGCCACCTGAGTTTTATCTATTTTTTGCCAGTTTTTGCCACTGGGGTTTCTGCCAGCCGGTATAAACCGGTTTAAACCACTGGCAAAAACCAGTTTTTGCCACCCCCTGCCAACCCTGACTGGAAGGACTGTGACAAGCATGACAGGGCCGACCGGTGGGGTGGACATGGGTCATTGATTACGTCTGTCCGCCCAGATCAGTGAAATGGAAGGATGAACAGAAGACAGGGTCGGCTGTCCGCGTCTGTAGTGAAAAGTGGACACGGAAGTGGCGATTTAACCCTCGCCCGTATTGGTGCTTTGCCAGCCGCGAACGTATAAGGGGGAGGGGGTCCGTCGCCCCCCCCCCCCCCTGCCGTTTGGCCCCTGATCGAGCTAGAGCTTCGCGAAAAAAAAAACGATCGTGTTGCCCGTGACGAAAGGAAGCCGATGATACCCAATGTTAAGGTCCTAGGTCATTGGTTGGCCTTCCAGGCCAGGTCAATGACCCAAAAGTCGGGGAAAATCGGGACCTGTTAGAACATCGTAAAGTAAGGTTGCTACTTGCTATGTTTTTTTTTGGGGGGGGGGGTGCTGATCACGAACTTTATGTCAGTTTTGATCACAGATGATGTCTTCATGCATTTAGGCCAGGTCGGGTCAGGTCAGGTCATGTCAACCAGTAGGGGTCGTGCCGGGTATTCTAGTGGGTGTCAGCCGTCCCTGACAGTTTCGTAACATGTTATGAATACATCAAAACTGCTTCGTAAATGTTCAAATGGTTGCCAAATTCGAAATCTGCTCCAAAATCTGCTCCAAAAAAAATCAGTGACCTGACCTGACCTTAAGGTGACCTTGACACCTACCATAACGCATGGGACCAACATCATATCACATGTTTGAACGCTTGAAACCACAAAAAGACTGCAAACGCGCGGCTAATGCGAGCCGACATACGCCGAATCACTATTCCAATTCCAGCCAAACATGGTCTCGAGAAATAGGTCAGAGGTCAAAGGTCATTTGGGTCAGGGTCATGAAATTTTCAGGGTAGGGGTAAAATAGACTGACTCGAGGATTCTGAAAGTTGTGTAACGATCGGCCGCTTTTTACGCTACTTATTCGCAAAAAAACGAGGGAGGGATCGTTCAACCCATACCCCCTTTACGGGCGATGGTTACTGGAATAGGAAAGGGCCGCATATTCGTATCGGTAGTGAAGAGAAGATCGGGAGTACTGACCATGCCAGTGCACAATGGGACCGGAGCGAAAATTAGCGCGACATCGGTACTTTTTCGTATTTCGTGCCCGCTTTTCACATGAAAAGGATGGTAGAATCATAAAAATGGTAATCGGTGTACTTTCTGTCGCCGCCGTAGCGGCTCCAGTGTTTTATGGCACGCGCCATTTTGCATATTTTTACGCAGTCGGAATTTCGTCGGTGCTATTGTTGGGGCATTCCACGTCAAATCAAACACCGAAATCCGTCATCCCCTTCGATTTTTCTGAAAATTTGTAGGCAGACTGGGCATGGTTCAAAACTGAGTTACGTATAATATTTTCGAAATTTGATAACGTATCGCTGAGATATAGGTCATCGAATATAGCGAAAAATGTCACACATCAATTTTTTAAATGGCTATAACTCTGATTCCTTTTCTGGTATCAAAATGATATTAACAGGGTCTTATAGGCAATTGATAAGGCTTTGATTTTTAATTATAAAATTAAATTGAAGTGACCTTGAAATGCATTTGACCTTGAATTAAAACAGAAAAATTTAAATAGCAAAAAACACGTCACCTTCGATTTGGGTAATTTTTACATATTATGTCCGTCACAATGTTCCTAACCATCTGTGAAAAAATTGGAGTGGGCCATTCATAACTTTCGCGGCAAACGCCGTTTTCATGCATCAACATCACGCAACCGCGCGTGACCTTGAAAGACAGAGTCAAGACATGCTTGCTTGTGTACACTTTCTGAAATGAATGATTGCTGATTAGTGATATCCCAAACTCTGCGAGGATGGAAATGCATAGTCATCGTAGTCAAGCATTCACGTTCCATAGTAAAAATGTCTCAGGCAAACGGTATTTTGCGGTGAATTTTGAGCCGTGTGGAAATGCATCATAAAGTAAATTCAACGAAAACATTATCACGCAACGATATCTTCACGTCTTTTGATCTTCACTATACGAAAGAACATACATTTTTTAGTATGTATGGGGAATTTCTAGTTAATCCAATAATAAATATGGCAGTTAGAGGCCTGCTAAGAGTAACATGTCGCCGGCTGAGGCGGGCTCGGCCGATGCGGGAAACGCAGCAATCACAATTTTGTGTTTACACGTTCATATTTCAATTGTTTACCAACCGATTTACAAATTTCTTGCGCCATAAGATTGCCTGTACATTTCTTAGTCTTCCCACAAAATTTGACGCGAATCGAACGTAATCAGCGGTAGGGAGCGCGATGTAAAGACGGAACCGTTCCGTTCCGTCCCGGCACAGTCTACAATTCAGGCGGCGCGTAGCGGTCGGCGCCGGCTGCCGAGTCGCCGGGTCGCTGCGGCGACAGGATGTTCACTTTACACCGCTATTACTAGAACAATTGTGAACCGATTTTCTCATTGCTTGCACGATGAGATGCCCCATTCAATTCTTGACAGGTAGCCATAATTAATTTCGCATTAATCTTATGAGATATTGGCGAAAAACAGGAGGGGTGGGCGAAATTCGCTCTTCCCCCCTCCACTGCGCGTGCTAACATACGTTTGCATATGTGCAATTTTCTTCAAAACTTATGAATGGCCCACTCTAATTTTTTCACAGGTTATTAAGAATATGGTAGGCAATAAAATATATGAAAATGAGCCAAATCGAAGGTGACGTGTTTTTTGCTATTTCAATATTTGTGCTTAAGAACAGAGTTAAGCAAATTTCAAGGTCATATATTTAAGTAGGTGCAATTCTAAACAAATGCTTAAGAAATTACCTAAACAGTAAGGTTTATTTCATTCAAATCAAACAAGTACAACCAAAGTTATGGTCGTTCAAAAATATAAAGATGCAACATTTTGTAAAAATTTGATGCCCTATATTTAGAAGACCTGTGGTCAGAATGTGCAAAAAACATCAATGTAATGCCCGGGGCCACACAGGAACTCGCTCACCAATTTATAATGAAATCGCTGATGGTAAGGTGCAAAACAGCCGATTTTTGTTCGATTTGACGTGGAATGCCCCTGTTGTCGTGTGAATGAACTCGTTGAAATTAGAAGGAGAAAATGGCGGACAATATAGATTGATCGATTCGGAACAAGTTTTAATTCGACTTCCGTATTATTCGGATTTTGCATATTCGTAACTTTACCGGTCGATCGGGGCCGGATTCGATTCGTTCGCAACATTTTTTGGTCCTCCGGGTCGTGGATAACGTAATTTGTGTGTCGTCTCGTTCGCTCTAACGTAATGTTCACGAATAACAACCTTTGAGCGTTATATCGTCGTTCGCTCTAACGTCATTATCGTGAATTTAGAATTAAGTTACGTTTTTGAGTTTCGCATCGTTCGCACTTAACGTAATGGCCACAGATAACGTAACGTTCCGCGCATTGCATGGCTTCTAAGCATAACAACGTATGCTCTGAATCATCGTGCTGCTCAACATCAGCAAATAATCAACATGGATCAATCACCCGAAGCAGCAAGATTGAAGCGGATCCGAGCAAACAAGAAGTCGTGTTTGACACGCATCTGCAATCGAGCCGAGAATCTGATCGCAGTTCGAGGCAGTCGTACCATTCTCCAAGAGCTGCTCGGTGATATTGACCGTGCAATGGACACAGTGACGGACTCCAATGAGTCATACCTGCTGGTATTGACGGACGAGGAAGAGAAATCGAAGGCAAACGAATACATGATTGAAATCGAAGCACAGCGGAACAGTATCGTTCAAAAGATAATGACTTACCTTCAATCGAGATCTGACGAGGCCGCTTCTGAAGCTAGTGCAGCAGCGTCCCATCGTTCGACGGCAGCTGTGGCTCATTCACATGAG